TTTAGTGCATTGTGTCATAAGCTGCTGAAAATCAGTTTCCGAAGTTTAAGAATTGATTCTGAAGCGTGATTTGACTGACATGAAAAGTGGCCAATCACAGTCGACCTTGTCTAGTTGCGTGTAACGTAAGGGCGGGACAAAGGCTTTCTGTGTTGCAGAGACAGAAAAAACAACTTAAAAACAAATGTTTTGTTGGAATAATGCTTCTCGGATGTTTTCACTACAGAGATGTCTAGCAGAGTAATTTAACCGCGGACTTATTTCCTGCCTATTTGATGATCTTCATACACGTTTCGCTCTCCGACAGCCAGTCGACTCGCCTCTGACCTGTCACTCCTCTAAACACAGTCTGAATGGCGGCGCGGGAATGAAGGTATTGCGCAATTACTCATTTCTGCAAATGCGGCGAGTGGTTTATTTTAACACGAGAGCGCATTCATGTACACAAATCGCTAAAACAGATATGCGAGCTCTTAAATAGGCTTTTTTTCAAATGAACTGCAAGTGCTCTCATGATCGCCTGTGTGCTCAGATAGAATACAATCGCGATCTTTCCACTATTAAAGTAGACATTATTTATCTTTGCTCCTTGACTAAATTTAGTCAAAAGTATTCAAAGTTATCAAATATTTGGAAATAGATTGATACATGATCGATGACAATGCTAATGGTCTTCTTATTTGGCTGTGTTGTGAAGTGAACTTACTTTTAGCAAAGGTGGAAATTTTTTTTATTTCTTTACGACAAAATAATTATGCTGGAAATGTTTCTGGATGAGGTATTTGTGTGATTTATATGTATTCTTATCTGTCCTAAAGCATTACAGGTCAAAGCAATCCATTGTTAGCCTACTTATTGTTTATTTATCACAATTTACAATAAGGCTCTTAAAGCACTGCTTTGATAAATGTAGTGTCGTCATATTTCAAATACCTCAAGTAAAATGAAGTCATTTGTTTTATTTTTTTTTACTGACAGTGTACTTGTATTTTTTTACGTTTCTATTTTAGATTAAGATCAAGAGTAAAATAAAATCTACATGTGATGTACAGCTATTTAAGAAACAAATTTGCCATATTGTAAAGAAAATAGTGTAAAATATGTAAATAAAAGGCTAAATTTAAATCTTTTTACCATATACTTTAATTTAACCTTTCAAAGCTTAAAAATATATATTTTTAAAAATGGGCAAAAAGTGTCTCTATGGCCTTAAAGATTATTTGGTGGTTTTACCAGTGCTATTGAAAAAGATTAATTGTCATGAAAGGAAAAATTTACTATACTTCCTTTGTTAGTGCAAATTATACATGTAGCTTTGGGATGTAAGCAATCAAACCATTAAATCAGGTTTACACTTAAAAAAAAGTGATTTCATAATGAAAATCAGATTTTTTTTTTTCAAAAGTAACCAACTAGTACTTTTTAAAAGAGTAATTTGTACTTTTACCTAATATTAGTATTATTTACTAAAATTTTTGTTATTTTAGCAGTGTAATAGTATTTTTACTTGAGTACAAAAAAGATTTCACAAGCACTTAGTGCAGGTTTATTATATTATTAATAAATATTATTTTAAATGTTTTTTATTTTTATCTATTCCTATGCAATGTTTTATGGGTTGCTGAGAATACATTTCAGGTCTTCAATACATAGCATGTCAGTCTTGGGAAAAAAAAAAAAAGTGCTGGAATTGATTTTCATTAGGCTGTGCCTGTATGAACCCTGTCATATGTACATTTAACATTTATTTCAAGATTTGTCTGAAAGTGTATGAATATGACATATAGCCTATATTTATAAGGTCAAAGCAGCATTTCCAGCTTTTGATGAATAGGCTACTATGAATACTTTAGATTTAAGTACAGCAGTCTTCTTTTTACTTTTTAAGAGCAGCGCCATTTTTTTATGAACTTTTAAAAGCACATTTTAACTAAAACTTTTTTTTTTTTTATCTGCAAGCACAGTTAATGTTCAGACTATTTCAAATGTTTAAAGTGACTGACAATAATACATATTCTTACTAATAGGAAGTAATCTGCATTGTTTTAAAACTGTGCACACCTGTAGCTGCTTAATTAGGCTTACGATGCTATTTTTTAATACTGGTTAAAAAATAGCGTCGTAAGGTGGTACTTGGAGAGACGATTTTTTTCTAAGGTGGTACTTGGTGAAAAAAGTTTGAGAACCACTGGCCTAGAGTGAAGCATGGGGGTCGATCAGTGATAGTTTGGGCTGCAATATCATGGCATATCCTAGAGGACCATGTGCACTCAGTGGTTTAAACTAGAGGTCTGCGCGTGACTAAATTTTGAATCCCACCACCGCCAGGTTTTAGTCCGAACCCGACCGATCCCGCTTATATTCAGCATTTGTTGTCCCACTGCCCGTCCCGCCCCGTTTTCTACCAGACATGCACATTCCCGCTAACAGGCGGGGGGAGAACAAAACCCTGCTATACATAGTCCAGACAGCCTATAACAAGCTGTCTCAATAAACACACACACATAAGCACCAAGCAAGTGACACACACAGACAGCATCACGCTCTCTCTCATTCACACACACACACGCATAAGACAGCACAAAGCTCTCTCTCATTCGCACACAAACACACACACACACATAGACGGCAACAAACAAGCTTAACACAGCATCACGTTCTCTCATTCACTCGCTCGGGAGCTGCGAGTGATATCGTTAGACCGCCCTCTCCCGTCCAAAATTACACCAGTTACCGACCGCTCCCACGCTCATTCATTCATTCATTTTCTTGTCGGCTTAGTCCCTTTATTAATCCGAGGTTGCCACAGCGGAATGAACCGCCAACTTATCCAGCAAGTTTTTACAGCGGATGCCCTTCCAGCCGCAACCCATTTCTGGGAAACATCCACACACACATTCACACACACACTCATACACTACGGACAATTTAGCCTACCCAATTCACCTGTACCGCATGTCTTTGGACTGTGAGGGAAACCGGAGCACCCGGAGGAAACCCACACGAAGGCAGGGAGAACATGCAAACTCCACACAGAAACACCAACTGAGCCGAGGTTCGAACAACTGACCCAGCGACCTTCTTGCTGTGAGGCGACAGCACTACTATCTACTGCGCCACTGCCTCGCCTCGCTCCCACGCTTTATTTGGAAATTTATTCCCGCGCTGCAAAAAATCCGGTCTGGTTGAGAAATCTGCAGACCTCTAGTTCAAACATTGTATCCTTAAGGCGGTGCCGTGTATCAGAATGTTAATGCACCAATACACACAGCAAGACTGGTGACAGAGTGGTTTGATGAACATGATAATGCAGTTGAACATCTGCCATGACCTGTACAGTCACCAGATCCTAAATATTATTGAGCCACTTTTAGAGTGTTTTGGAGAAGCGATTCAAAAAACATTTTCCTCCACTAGCATCACATAGTGACTTGGCCACTATTCAGCAAGAAGAATCGCTCACAAAACCCTCTGGCCACTGTGCAGGACTTGTATCCACTTGTATCCAGGACTTGACTGTCATTCCTAAGACAAACTGATGTTTTGTCAGCTAGGCATGGGATGATTATCATCTTTGTCAAGGTATACTGCGGTTTGAAAAAGTCAAGGTTTTAAAACCGCCAACATTTTCTGCAATACAGTTACTAAGGTATTATGTAAGGTATTTTTACATTTTGTTTTTCATGACAACAGTACCTTCAGCTGAAAAGACATAATGAAAAAAACCTAATGAAGACAGCAAAAGTCAATGATTCATTTGAATTAGTTAGCATGACATGTTTACTGTTCCAAAATAGTTTAAAAGTTAAATAAAATATATTGTGTTCAAATGGAAAAAAAGTTTTAGTTTTGGTAACACTTTATAATAACTACACACTATAAATCATTTATTAAGCATTTGCAAATAGTAAATTCATTATCTGTTAAGCATTAACTCTACATTAATAAACGTTAGTAAGCAGTTTATAACTGCTGCTACAAATGCTCTACTCTTGACTTATAACCATATTTAAAATGTGCTTAATAATTGTATTTTCATACTTAGTAAATTATTTATTTTTCATTACTAAATTAAGTATCGCATTATTTACAAACCAGTTGTATTTAAGAGTAGTTGAAGGTTTTTAGGATTATTCAGAATGAGTTAGTAAATGATTAATAAAATATTGAAATCAATGTTTATATATCTTAATATTCAGGCATTTACTAATAGTCAACTAATATGTTAATAAATGCTTTATTAACTCAACTTCATGCAGTTTTGTGACCTAATCTAAAGTAAGGACTATTTATGCTTTATAAATCCCTTATAAATGACAATTAAAGGCTCAGAATCAAATGAACTATAATCTTTGCAATCTTTACTAAAATGTAAAATTACTGTAAAGTTTAAACATTGCTGAATAACAGGAGTGTCAAAATAAAACAAAACTGGATAAAACAACAATATAATAATTAAACAATGTAATAAAATGTATTGTTTAAACTCTACAGTGATTTTATTTTATATCAGGTTGCAAAGATTTATTTTTTATTTGAAGTACAGTTTCATGTGTGTATCTTTAATTAAATAGGAATGAATAATGTCATTTTCCTGTTTAGAATTAAACTGAGCCTTTACTTGTCATTTATAAGGGATTTATAAAGCATGAATAGTCCTCACTTTAGATAAGGTCACAAAACTAGGTTAAGTTGAGTTAATAAAGCATTTATTAACATACATAATAACCATTAATATATGCCTGAATAATAAGACATATAAACATTAATTTCAATATTTTATTAATCATTTACTAACTCATTCTGAATGATCCTAAAAACCCTCAACTACTCTTACATACAAATGGTTTGTAAATAATGCAATACTTAATTTAGTAATGAAAAATTAATAATTTACCAAATATGAAAGTACAATTATTAAGCACATTTTAAATATAGTTATGTCAAGAATAGAGCATTTGTAACTGCAGTTATAAACTGCTTACTAACGTTTATTAATGTAGAGTTAATGCTTAACGGATAATGAATTCACTATTTGCTAATGCTTAATTAATGATTTATAGTGTGTAGTTATTATAAAGTGTTACCTTGGTTTTTTACCCAGACCTTTAAATAGAATATATTTTAGAGCAGTAATAACAATATCGTGAAATCGTGATTTTTTATTTTTATTTTTTTATCCAAGGTTATCATATCGTCAGAATCTTATACCGGATTTATTTTGAATTATTTTGGTCTAAAACCAGGTGTTTCAGTTTCATTATCCAACCCCCTGTATGTTTGTGTGTATACAGGATGTCTACTGTATATATTTAAATCATTCTTTCATGCCTTTGTACCTATACAATGTGTACAACTAACAAAATAGCTGCATAAATTGAATATATATAAAGAAATGTTAGTGTATTTACCACCCTGGTATGCCACAATATTTATTTCACACAATATATAGTGGGCCTAAATGTTATTTGACTGTGATGATCTTTGCTTTCTCCAGCCCACAGTGTGCCACTATTTCATAAAGATGCTGAAAGACAAAGGCTTACTGAGGCGCTGTTATTCTCAAGTGAGTGTTATATGAATATATATGTACATGTGTGTATTGCATACATACATGCACACACACACGTTGGTTTTTGTGAAAAGTGGGGACATTACATAGGTTTCTATTCATTTTATACTGTCCAAACTGTATATTGTATTGCCCTCACCCCACCCCTAAACCCAACCATCACAGTAGACTGTGTGCAGCTTTACTCTGATTAAACTCATTCTGTAGGATTTATAAGCATTTTGAGAAATGAAGACATCACCAATGTCTTCATATTTCACCTCCTTTTTGTAATACCTGTGTCATACCTATGTCATTATACAGATTTGTGTCCTGATATGTCACAAAAACACGTACACACACACACTGGGTAATGGTTTATTTTGTATTATATTCTCTCACATATTTTTTTAAGAATATTGATACTCTAGAAAGGGTTGCAGGACTGGAAGGGGAGGACCTGATTGAAGCTCATGGTACATTTCACACATCTCACTGTGTGAGCTTCCTCTGTCGTAAAGAGTACAGCATGGACTGGATGAAAAGTACAGTACTGAACTCTGCTCAGTTTTAAATAAGATGCGGAAAAGTAGTTTGCTTCAATATTTTGTGTTTCTGACTCACAGATCAAATTTTCTCTGAAGAAATTCCTAAGTGCGATTCCTGTGGAAGCCTCGTAAAACCCGGTAAGACCCATATGGGCTGTGATTCCTTTTAGTTTTCTAAAATCAAACTTAGTCCATCAATAAACTGCTTTTGTTTGTGTCTAATGTCTAATTAAAATTAATTAATTAATTAGAATTAGAATGTCTAATCATTTGTTTTTGTCTGTTTATAGATATTGTGTTTTTTGGGGAAAGTCTGCCTTCCCGATTTTTCACTTCAATGAAAGCGGTGAGGATTCAGTACAGTTCAATTCAATTTTTTTGCATTCTCAGTTTGACATTTTAAATCAGTTACTGTACACACATTTGGAAGGCACTTTAATGGAAAGAGACAATTCGTTGCACTCAATGTACACCTATTATCAGTTCTTGCTGTCTTTTGTAATTGAACCCACAACCATGACTTTTTAGTGCCGTGCTCTAATATTTTAAGTATTGTAAATAATGTCATTCTATTGTTTACCACAGGACTTTCCTCAATGTGACCTTCTGATCATAATGGGGACATCTTTGCAGGTTCAGCCATTTGCATCTCTAGTGAGCAGGTAAGATCCTCTGCTTTGCAGAATTCACATGGAACTGTTGCAGGCTTGACTAAATAGGTTATGGTATTTTATATGTACACTAAAATAAGTAAAACTGTTAATTTCTAAAGTTTTTTTTTAATTTAATGTAGTTTTAAATTTAATTTATTACTGTGATTTTAAAGCAAGAGTTTTTCTCCAGTCTTCAATGTTACATGATTTTTCAGAAATCATTATAATATGCTGATTTGCTATCATGAAACGTTTGTTATCATTCGTCTTGAAAACCATTGCTCTGTTTAATATTTTTGAGGAAAATAGGATGCAGTACCATTCAAAATTATTATAATAATTAAAACATTTATAATTTTATAGACAGATTTTATTTCAAATGAATGTCGTTATTTGGGATTTTCTTCTCATCAAAGAGTCTTAAAATGTCATATTTCCACAATGTTATGAAGCACAGAAAAAAAAGATTTAAAGTGTAGAGTTATAATAATCAGAATTAATGATTGCCAGCAATAATTAATCATAAAAGAACAGCATATCAACATATTATAATTTGCTGATGTCTAAAGTATCATGTTAGCAATGTTACTGAAAACTCAGCTGTGTATATATAGTCAAGCGCAACATTATTCATACCCCAGGGCTATGAATTATTTGTGCTTGAGTATATAAGTTAATAAATAAATAGTGTGTGTATCAAGTCAAAATTGTTGGCTTCCCTTCGAAACTTAATTTTTTTTTAAATGTTAATTGTTGCTTAATGAAGAAAAAAAAAAATTCAACATTTTTAAACAAATACTTATAACTTAAACAACTAATTATAACAAATTTATTTTGTCTTTGCCATTGTCACAGTGCAAAATATTTTTCTACCTATTTTGCAATACACTAGTATTCAGCTTAAAGTGCACTAGGTTACCATGTTAACTATACAAGTATATATAATTAGGCAAGTTATTCGATTAATAATATAAAAATAATATGATTAACAGTTGTTTGTTCTGTAGACAATCAAAAAAAATTCTTAAGGTGGTAATAATATTGACTTTAATGTTAATTTTGATTTTTTTTTTTTTAATTAAAGCTGATATTTTTTTAGCCAAACAAACAACAACAACAAAAAAAGATTTTCCCAAGAAGAAAAAAATATATATAGGAAAAGCTGTGAAAATTTCTGTAAATATATTTTTTTACACAGACTAAACAATAAGCCAGTGATTTTTGATCTATAACAGTACATAATGGCATAACAGAAACGTGTTTGGAAAAATAAAGCCACTGAATTGTTAATTTAATGTTTTGGAAATGTAATGATTCAAACTTCACAACCATAACAACATTTGAAGAAAGAGATTCTTTTACAATCTTTTGAAGTAGCTTCTTACGTAAGGGTAGGCCCATCATTGATACTGTTTATTTACCTGTGTAAATGTGTGTTAATTTATATTTATTCAGTTTTTAAATTAATTTCAGTAATAATATTGACTAATATAAAATATGTATATGATTTATTTACATTTTAGTTTGTAAAGTAATATTTTCTGTCTTTAAGTAAATATTTTATATGAGAGACTTGCTTTGTTTACCAAATAAAGTGCATCTAATAAGATTTGCATTGTGGATCTAACAAGATTTGCAACATTAAATACAAGTTAAAAAGGTATTACTTATATATATATATATATATATATATATATATATATATATATAAAGGTTTTAGTTATGATACTCCCAAAATCATTCGCATAAATCTGCAGATTTTTAACAAAATTCTGCGCAGAAATAGCAAAAAATGTTCGCATATTCCGGCATAGGAATTGTAGGAGCTTTCATTTGTATTAATTTATAAAGCATGAAATAAAAATTAGTCAGGTTAATTTATTCCAAATATTAATCAAAAAGGTAATTTTCTAATTTCAATCATTTTTATTTCTCTGATTTTTGCAGAGTCTCAAACCGCTGTCCACGATTGCTGATCAATATGGAGAAAACTGGACAGGTCTTTGGCTAATTCTAATAAACATGAATGAAATTCATTTTATAATTACACGTTGGCTTATTACACGTCTTACACTTTTTTTTCTTACAGTCTGAATTTGGCATGGGGCTATTCAGTTTTGGAGGCGGAATGGATTTTGATTCAGATAAGGCCTACAGGTGAGACCAGTGTCATTTTTAACAGCTGTCTAAGAGTTGTTGTTTTTTTCTCATCATATCAGATCAGGATATTTTTAATGAAACCTGACAGATTCCTAGTCATAAGCTCAAAAGTTTTCAATTCAAGTTTATTTACTTTTTATGTATTTTACATTTAATTTAGGTTTTATTTCAAGATTTAAAAAAAATGGAAATACTGGTGGTCTGAGGGAAAAAAAAAGATTTCTTTAATGTTTTTTTTTTTTTTTGGAAATAATATTAATACAAAAAAATTATATATCTGCAAGCAACAATTATCAAGGCCAAGCAGCCCAGTGGCCACATCATAAACAAGCAAGGCAACAAGCTACATAGCAACTGGAAAACTCTATAACTTTTTGGCAGTATGGTCTGAGCTAAATTTGATGAAAATTGGGCAAACTATCTACGGAGAGGTCAAAACAACAGATTTTCAAACTAATACAAGATAGTGGAAAGGAAGTCCTGTCAATTAGCGAATAAATGATATCAATGTTCTCTGGATGATCTAAGAAATCTAACAAGACCAGTCTTATGACAAAAGACCAAACTATTCTAAAGTCATTTGATAAATTTTGCATGATTTCTATTGATAGAATTTAATAGTCAATTTTACCCAGAAGGTGGCGCAAACTGACGTACAGTAGTTTGGTCAATGCCAGGTCTAGATCACACACATTAGGTTTGATTTCAATAATCCATTGCAGTGATTTAGCCTGTATGTCATCTGGCAGCATCACATCAAGCTCACTTCAGACCATGGTTGTCATAACAAACATCAAGTTAAATTTGTTAGCAAGATAATTGAAAGTGGTTCATCTAATCAACTTGAATTCCATAACCTTTTGTCAGCATGGTCTGTATATAAAGTAATTTCATTTTGGTGAAACTCGGACAAATGGCCTTGGACGAATTTGTTCAAATTGGTTTTACGAAAAATTTGAAACAGCAAAAATATTTTCATGATGGAAAAGGACGTCATGAGGTGTGTTTGAGCCAAGGAATCACAGGGGGAAAATGGATTGTAGCTCATTTGGTTCAAAAGTTATACAGATTAACATAAGTGAAACTTTGGACAAGTGGTGGCACTAGAGAGTTTGAGAGAGAGTTCAAATTTGTTGTGGTTTAAAATCAGACTGTTCTCTATGAGGGTGCCAAACATAGATATATACACTAGATATCGCATAGGGACCCTGAACATGCGTCAATAGCGCCGCCACATTGGTACAGTGCTCCCAGGACAAATGTCATTCAACCGCACTAGTCAAGACAGTGTTATTACGTGAAGATGCTGGACTTTAGCGCAGTCTACGGGTGTAGTAACGAGCAAACAAAGAAAACAAAGCACAAAGGCAGAACATTTCATAGGTAATATTAAGTTTTTTTCTGTTTTTGTATGTTCTGAAGTTTTGTGCTAATCAGGTAACGTTATTGATGATAACAGTCACATACTGCATTCACCATACGGCAAAGCAGCTCCAACTCGCTCTAAACACTCGGCTTATGCTAGTTTTGTTGAATAAAATCAGCAAACAATGCAAAAGAAATATGACAGCGAGATGCTGCGCTGCCAGAAACTTGTATTATTGTCGGTTAGCGAAAGAGTCGTTCGGGGGATTCATTCACAAACGAATCGCTCCCTTCGTCAGTATGAGAAGTGAACGCAGGAGAGGAGGTGTGTTTCAGGACATGATTAGATCAAATTTAACAGGGAGGGTGAATAGTACATTTCTATACACACAATCACAAGCTTTTTGTCAGGAATGCCCGTGCGGTCACTGATCCATCAATGTAGAAAAGTGATGTAAAATTTTCATAATTAGAAAAAATAAATTACATACTAACATCCAGGAAAACTCCCGATCATAGATATATGTGTATATGTGTATATCTCTGGCTTTGGATGGCCACAGTCCTCCACTGTACCTTGGTCCCGCATTCATTTCAAAGGAGCGCTACCCTGTAGCAAGATGGCGGCGCTATTGACGCATTCTGTTCAATAGACAACAATAGGCCAGGCGACATCTAATGTATATATCTATGGGTGCCAAAGTTTGCACAAATGCCGCAAACGGTTCATAGGGCTTCTGTAGACTACCAGAGCGGAAGAAGAAGAAGAAGCCAGAAGAATAATAAGAACCAGAACGGATACAATAGGTGCCTACCCACCTTCAGTGCTTGGCTTCTAATAATAAGATGTAATATGATGTAACTAATTGAATCTGAAAAAATAATAAAACAAATATGATTTATTATGCAAATACTACAATTTTTTATTTTACAAATGACCCAAATATTACAAATATATTAATCCTGTTTTCCAATGTAGACTTGAAATAATAAAACATGGTAATAAAACATTGTTAAAAATATAAACAAAAAATCTAAATAGCCATTTTCTTACAGAAATGAACTTTGAATAATACAATAAATTTATTTGACATTAAAATAAACATTTGGGGTTTTCATTCAATTTCAAGTGATAGTAGTACACCCAAAAAATTTAATTCTGTCATAATTAACTTACGCTTCAGCGGTTTGAATGGATTTTTGCTGTTTAACCCAAAAGAAGTTATAGGAAAACATGTTGGATACCTGTAACCCTTGACTTTAATAGTAATTTCGTCCTACTATGGATGTCAGCAGTTAAAGGTTACTAACATTTTTCAAAATACTTTTTTTTGTGTTTCACAAAAAAAAAAAAAAAAAAAAACTCAATAAGGCAGAGATGCCCAAACTAGGGCCCACGGTAACCTTTGATTTGGCCCGCCATCACATCTGAGAAGAGGAAAAATGATGGGGATAGTTTAGATGGGGTCTGTCATAAAAACTTGCTGGATAAGTTGGTGGTTCATTCCGCTGTGGCGACCCCAAATTAATAAAGGGACTAAGCCGACAAGAAAATGAATGTACAAAGACTGTTACAGATGCTATAAAAAGCTAACTAAAATAAATGTTAAATAAATGTAAAATTCAATTTAAATGCTGTAATTTAGTTTAAAATGTACATACAGTCACCCGACGGATAGAGGACAATGCAGAAACTTTGGTGAGCAAATCAAGGCAAAGGCAGATTATGCCTGACTATATTCAGCATTGAACTCCACTGTGTTATAAATGTGATTATGTTTTATTGCAATAATTTATCATTTTTAAATATATTTACTGCATTAGTTACTACAATTCAAAGTAATGTTTTCTTTTGATTTTTAAATATTATGAAATAAATTATGCAGTTACCCATGGCAACTTTAATGTAAAATAGTTTGCCATATTTTTCTTTGGCCCATGGCTCTCAATGATATTTGATTTTTGGCCCCTGTATACTAAAAGGTTTGGGCATTAAGGTTTGGAACAACTTGAGAGCAAGTAAATGCTCTTTATTTTTGGGTGAACTATCTCTGTTATGCATCTTATGTAGGTAAAATTATTATTTAAAAAATCTGAAATAATTCATAGCATTGTTGTAAACAAGCATTTAAACAAACAGAGAGAAAAGAAGCTTATTGATTCCTATGATTATTGATTATTCACAGAGATGTGGCTCATCTGAGCACCTGTGACGATGGCTGCATGACTCTCGCTGAACTGCTGGGCTGGAAAGTAAATACTGGCAAAACTACATACACACCTTACGTTTAATTTAAAATCTGTAATCTTTTACCTGCTTATGTTTTACTGTCTTTTATTTCAGAAAGAGCTGGAGGAGATGGTGAAGCGTGAACATGCTTTGATTGACAGCAAAGATGCCAAAAAGACTGACAAAGAAGCCAGTCAGAGCTCCAAAAGTGCTGTGGCGGAGGCAGAGAAGACTGACAAAACAGAATAACCATTCAGAGCCTGCAGAGGGTGAACATGACATCTAAAGTAGTTTCACTACACTCTGGCCTGCTCCGGTTTACTGTCGACCTCTGTTCCTTTGAGCTCTTGTATCTCTCACCTGCCTATAATAACAATATAGAGAACGTAGAAATAGTGCAGAAACCTCAAAGGGGACAGAAACAGCACGAGCGAAAGACAGCAAACACTGTAGTTGAGAGGTGGTGTTCTGCTTGGGGGACGGCTCTTATGAAATAACATAACGCTTTAAATATAAAGTTTGAAATATTATTTACATTACATTTAAATGTATCATATGAGGTATCAGGGTTAAATGTGTCTGAAAGAAAAAAATTGGAATGACATACAAGCGAACATGGCTGTTATTTTTTTTTTATGACACCATGTGTGACAAGCAACTAAAACAATTGAACTACATTCTCATTACTGTAATTTCTTTGTGAATTGTAACATTTTTAAACACGAGTAAATTGAATGCAATTAAATTAATAGTAAACTATATTAAAAAAAATACTACATTTTAAAATTTCCAGAAATGTACAAAATAAAATACCGTAAATATTTTACAATTAACATTCCAAAGTAATCAAAATTACATTTCTTTGTGTTCTTACAATTAGATTTAATTAGAAAAGTCTACTCTGCTAAATTCTTACAAGGTTTCATGAGATTAACCTTGATGATGCTTGTTAACATGATTCCTTTCTTTGTGCAATCATTTATATATTTTAGTATAATGTCATTTTTTTAAGGTGTAACTAATGGATGTTTATTTTAATGGAAAAAAGGTAACACTTTATTTTGAGGGTCCATTTGAGTGTTAGTAGACTATCTCATTATTATCTGTTGATACTGACATTTAACAGTCATTCAACAGACATTTAACTGACTAAAAGAAACTTTGCAAGTACATGTCAACTTACACTAACCCTAACCTACAGTCTACTTATAATCTAATGAGAATTAGTTGGCATGTAGATGCAATGTAACTTAAATTCAACAAACGGACCATTAAGATAAAGTGTAACCGAAAAAATAATAGCATCTGGATTATATGAACTATTCTAATACATTTTGCTGTGTATTCTTTCTCTATTGCTTATCTTTGGTTTGGAATGTTTCAGCCCATGTTTCAAATGTGTAAGAGGAAGTTGGCCCAGGAGTGTTTTACAACATTACTACGATATCTGATGAAGTCTAATGCAACCCTATTTGAGGAAACAAAAGTGAGAGACAAAACTTGTATGCATGCCTGTGGTGTAACATTGTTATAAGGCATTAAAATGGTTATTAAAATATGCATAGTTTTGGTCAATAATCCAGTCTGGCAAAAATGTGAAATACCTGTACTCATCACCTTACCTCTCGTGAGTGGGAAGTGTTTTTGATCTTATTACTGGAGAAAGCTCTATCAATGATGTATTATTATAGCATGACCTCTAGCACTAACTTTTAAAGAGCCCCTGTTATACATTTAAAAAGGATCATATTTTGGTTTTGGGGGTCTCAAACAACAGTCTGATATGCATGCAAGGTCAAAAAACACTTTTAATGTTATATAATGTGCATTTATTTTGACTTGATTATCTCAACGACTCCCATATGATTCGATCAGCGATTCATTTGTTTCCAAACCCCTTCTTTGCATGATGCTAATCTGCTGATTGGTTCGATGACCCAGTCTATTGCGCTTGGTCAACTGCAATCAGAGGAGACAGAGAGAAATGCCCACCACGGCTTATCAACAATTTTGAAGTAGTCAGAGTGCAGAGTGTATGTGTGAGCCCAATGCAGTAGTACATTAAAGCAATGCATTTCAACACCAGCATACTCTATTCTTAGCCATGACACACATCCAGTATCAATCCACACAGTGGCAAAAGCTGAACTATTTTTAAACTTGACCACCACACGTGTATAGCAACAGCTGACGATGGCCATAGCAACGACAAATGTCATTCTATCGCGAGCTCACAATGCACACGTCACGTTTTTAACATGGCTTTAGACACGATATGAGAATATAAAGAGTTAACCAGACAAGTGGTTACAAGTAACAAAACACAATTTAAAACATAATTTGCAAGCTAGAGAAAACAAGGAGGCAACCATTTTAATCACACTTAAGTTACTTACACTTGTGAAATGGAGGAAGAAACTGATCCATGAACTGTGTACTACAAAGCCCCTGTCAAACTCTGAGAAAGTCCCGTGCATCAATAGTCTTTTCCGATCTTTCCTTTAACAAATGGCCAACAAATGTCCTATTGTAAGCGTGTAGATTGCTGAAGCACTCGTCAGAAAAATGACGGGAACACAGCACAAGGCTGGGGCTATAATGCTGAGGTATTTTTGTAAAAATTAACTTCAACCACTGACTCTTCACTGCCTCATCTTTGGGTAGGGAACATAGCACTAACTTTTCCTCACACTTCAGAGCACAGCATCTTCACGACTGGGGAAACAGGGATCTATTACGGTGTTTCTCTTCCACTTTGCCGTTTTACAGTGTTTGTGGGCGGGGCCGGGGGTTTCAATTTTTCTGGGTCTGTGCGTGCAACAAATGGACAGGGCTTGAATTCCGTATCAATGTCACGCCGACACTGCTAAACACTTGTTACACTGGCGATTCATTCGAACCACTCTTTTAAAGATGAATCAATAGTTTTAAATTTAAGATTTAAGCCTTCACTGGATATTTCACTTTACTTAGAGCTGTGTTACACACTTCATGGATTGTCATTTTCAAAAACCTTTAATAGGGGCTCTGTAATGGCTCCAGTGCATTAATTACAATGCAGTCAGGGTTAGATCAACTTTTTTATACTAGTGGAAAATTTACTAATAGGTGGTGTGAGAGTGCAAACCTATAATAAAAAAGGAAAAAAGGTAGACAGATCTGCAGGTGATTCTAGTGTCAAACTGCCAGATTAAAGAACACAGACAAACCAGCTAATTTCCATAAAGACCAATCCAGGTTGCCAAGAGGAACTGGGTTATAAATGAGTAGGATAGATTAGAAACAAGCATGTGTAATCAACACAAAGGCTCTGGAAATGAGTATGCAATACACTTTAGTCAATATTTTGTAGATCATTTTAAAAAAGCAGGACACACACACACAGAATAATAAATTAAAGCTGTATTACACTCTAAAAATATATTGTTTAGACCAAACAAAACAAATTAACGCAAAATTTTGCATCAATATATTCAAAAATGAAGTTTCAACAACAAACTTTGTGTTAGCAAAATGACCTTTTCCACTTCAATCGTTTTTTACATAGCATAAACCATATTTTTAAGTCGAGTACTCAAATTAAGTTGTTTCAACTAGTTTTTTTTTAATAAAAACTTTAAACAAATCCAGTGTTTTTTTAACTTAGTTACTTGCAAGTTTTCAAGTTTAGAACCTCAAATAAATTAAGTAACTGAAATTGTTGAATTATTTTGTTTGTTTTCATATTTATTTACATTTACTTGCTTTTAAGAAATATATTTAACAACAACATTTTTGTTTTCCAGTAATTTTTAATTTGTTTTAAACCACCGATTTTCAATGTTTTACAAAACAAAAACATGAACTGTCCTATTTAAACAATTTAAAAGATAACATCAGTGTGTGGACTTAAAAATACAAAACATGTCCATTAAAAAAATTGTTATCAACTAAATTTCTTTATCTCGCTACAAGTTAAATATTGTTTTAAACTAAGTGACAGATTTTCCTTTAAACTAGCTGCATTTTTAAGTTGACGTAATTATCAATATTTTCCTGTTTTAAAAACTTAATAAAATTATTATTGCAACTTAAAAGTTTTAATCTAATCAGCAATTTAGAATTTTTAAGTTAAAACAATGTATTAAACTATCAGTAGCAAACCTCTTGAGTTATTTTTCAGAGTGTACATTGTTTTAATAATTGAACATTGACGCAACATTTTGCATCAATATATTCAAAAATGAAGTTTCGACAACAAACTTTATTGTGTTAGTCAAATGACCACGATTGACCACTTCAATCGTTTTTACATAGCATAAACCACATTTTTAAGTCGAGTACTCAAATTAAGTTGTTTCAACTAGTTTTTTAATTAAAACTTTAAACAAATCCAGTGTTTTTTTTCTTAATTACTTGCAAGTTTTCAAGTTTAAAACCTCAAATAAATTAAGCAACTGAAATTGTTGAATTATTTTGTTTGTTTTCAAATTGATGTACATTTACTGGCTTTTGTTTTCAAATTTATTTACATTTACTTGCTTTTGTTTTCAAATTTATTTACATTTACTTGCTTTTAAGAAATATATTTAACAACAACATTTTTGTTTTCCAGTAATTTTTAATTTGTTTTAAACCACCGATTCTCATTGTTTTACAAAACAAAAACATGAACTGTCCTATTTAAACAATTTAAAAGATAACATCAGTGTGTGGACTTAAAAATACAAAACATGTCCATTAAAAAAATTTCTTTAGCTCGCTACAAGTTAAATATTGTTTTAAACTAAGTGACAAATTTTCCTTTAAATTAGCTGCATTTTTAAGTTGATGTAATTATCATATATAAATATAAATATAAATATATTTTCCTGTTTTAAAAACTTAATAATATTATTATGGCAACTTAAAAGTTTTAATCTAATCAGCAATTTAGAATTTTTAAGTTACAACAATGTATTAAACTATGTAGTGGTAGCAGACCTCTTGGGTTATTTTTCAGAGTTGAATTGTTTTAATGCTTGAAATGTCTTGTTATTGCCTCTCATACATCATGCAATAGAGCAAACTGTACAGCTTCTCACATGGTCAAGGTGCACTAGAAAGTGTGTAAACTTATAAATCATATACCTTGAATGGAGTTAAAATTGGTTTGGATAAAAGTGCCTAAGTATACATTTGTGAAAAATCTGCCACTTGCTGGAGTTGGGCCTTAGTTAACATCAACATAGACTCATTTCATTAAAAGAGGAAATTCAATGAGGAACAATAGTTTACTTTCTTCCCTTAAGCTTAATTATCAGCTGAACCTTTACTGTAAAAAAGAGGGACATTTTTGACACTTACCAGAATGAGGCTTTACGGTACTGTGTTAAATGTGAAAGTAACACGTTCAGCTATAATCTTTCAGCTGTATGTGGCGTCCTACTTTTATCACTGTGCTCACTTGTTAGTTTTCACTGTGAGGTTTACCACACTCATGAAAGTGGGTGGAGCTTATGGTGTGAGATACACAAAAGGCATCATCAAGGGTTCTGTCACTCTTGTCAAAGCACACGCTGAACTTTAATGTGACTGAAATTGAGTCTTCAGAAGTGAATATTTCACAGGAGCACTCTTTAGGTTAGCGTGACAAAGGACATAAACCATGTGTAATGAGGAGTCTCATTTACCCCACATGTAATCTTGCTGTGGGTGGAGGTGTTTGGAGCAGCTTGCAGAGATGTTCAGTGTCTTTTTCACGTAGGAGGACATTTTGAAGACACCACATGTGAGTTCAACTATGTTTGCATCATTTATATTATGTGTTTCTTAGCTTATGATTGAGGTGTGAGTCAAAACTGGTGACAAGTTAAACAAATATATTTACTTTCTGACTATTGAGTATTTTGAATTAACATTTGTGAGGTATTCTTCTCCTGCTTCTCAGGAAATGTCAAAACTTAAAGAAAATACAAATGTATACTTGCATGAAGAATATAACTGAAAAAAATATTGGAAAATGTTGCAAGGAAAAACTATCTTTAGGATTTATTGATGAAAATGTGAGCTGTGAGCACATCCTAAAAGCATTAAACAAATATTTTATGCATTATTAAAGAAATAATACACCAAGAACTGAAAAATTCTGTCATGATTTACTCACCCTTGTCACAAACCTGTTAGAGTAATTTTTGTTTAGGTTCACGTAAAGTAAATTATTTTGAAAATTGTGGAAACTTGTAAACATTTACTTCCATAGCATTTGCTTTTATCATTGTGAAAGGCAAAGATTACATTTTTCTAACATTTTTTAAAAGGTCTTTTGTGTGAATCAAAAGTCTTTATGCAGTTTAACAAGTGTTTTGCTATACCACATGGCATATATACATTTTTTTTTCAAACTTCAGATTGACTGATCAAATGTTTAACTGCTAACAAGGAAATATAAAAAAGGATATGAGGTTGAATTGATGATTTCTCATTTCCTTTGTTTCTCTGTTTTTAAATTTCAACAGGGTTACGGCAACAACGTTGAAATGGAGGACCTTATGCCTTCCTGAGCGATCAGAACAGATTTCATGAACAGGCTTGTACTGTTGGATCAAAGATGATGAAAGAGCCTAAAGATGAAACTGAAAACAATGAGAACAGGTAAGGTTGTGTGTGTGTGTGTGTGTGTGTGTGTGTGTGTGTGTGTGTGTGTGTGTGTGTGTGTGTGTGTGTGTGTGTGTGTGTGTGTGTGTGTGTGTGTGTGTGTGTGTGTGTGTGTGTGTGTGTGTGTGTGTGTGTGTGTGTGTGTGTGTGTGTGTGTGTGTGAGAATGTAGGCAATTTATTGTATTACGATGGTTCTGTAGACTTGTGAGAAAAAATATATAGCTTCAAGGGGCTAATAATATTGTCCCTAAAATGGTGTTAAAAATTTACAACTGCTTTGATTTTAGCCGAAATAAAACAAATAAGATTTTCTGCAGAAGAAAAAATATTATCAGGCATACTGTTAAAATTTCCTTGCTCTGTTAAACATCATTTGGAATATATTTAAAAAAGAAGAAAAAAAATTCAAAGGGGGTTGATAATTCTGACTTCAAATATGTGTGTATATAAATATATATATATATATATATATATATATATATATATATATATAT